CATAAGACAATAAATAAGATTTATATTCCGCTTTTCCTCAAAACTCACTTTAAACCACCATCAAGTTTTTGTAATAACTTCCGATTGCTGTGTGTGTTTTGGCCATGTAATGTTGCTGAAATTAAATATATTATAACCTCTGAGTCAGAGCAGCGATCATGGAAGAGAGAGCACAAGCAGACAGTGCTAGAAACTGCTAATGCTTCTCAGTAAATCAGTGGAAAATGAATAGAAATGACGATTCTGTCTGAGCTAGGTGATTCTGTCACACGCACTAGTGCAAATGTAGCTAACAGATGTGTAAACTGAAGACTATTTGAGCTTTATTAAAACTATTTGAACAGATTTTTTGTTTGTTACATTTTGTTCCTCTGTGCAGTGGCTTTGAGTCTGTATAAACATCAACAAGCTGAAAAATAGTATTTTTTTTTAGATAATATAATCTTGTTCAAATAGATTTCATAAAATTGGTATCGAAAAAAGTATCGTTCAGGAACCGGTATCGAAGTCAAGGTATCGGTATCAAAAATCTTTGAACGATACCCAGCCCTACTTCCAATACAATTTTCCGAAAGATGGTTTTGGTCATTTAAGGTAGTTGTTATCACGCTGATATGTATGTTTGATTTTAGCTAGTAATTTGATGCTATATAAACGGGGTGTGTTGTTATGGTTGATTGGGTCTGCGGGAGTTTGGGCGGGAGTTTGATACCGCGGCTCCACTTCACGACACTACTGCGCAGACTCTGGCTCCAAACGAATCTCTACTGCGCAGACTCTGACTCCAAATGGCACCATTTATTCAAGATGGCGCCATACTGAGATGCTTTGGCTTCACTTTACTATAGTGGAAGGAATAGGAAACGCGTCGTCCATCTTTTTTACAGTCTATGGTTGAAACACAATGCTGAGTGAACTCAACCAATCAGCATGTTCAGCGCCCAAGTTCCACCCCCAAAAGTTCCGGAAAAGTACTACCTCACGAGCAGGGACTTATGGCGCTTTTCCACAGCGTGGTACGACTCGGCTCGGTACGGCTCAGTACGGCACGGCACGGTTCGCGTTTCCACTGCAGTTCAGCACCGCTTTAGAGTGGGCCTCTACTACCACGACTCCTAAAAAAAACTTTTTCATTCCGCAACGCACCATCAAGCTCTCGCTGGATCCGCTCCTCTGCTATCAACGAGAGGAACAAAACTTTTTGGTTGTTAAAAAAAGTGCACTCGTTCAAAATGGTTGCGTTCGATCCTTCGCTGGCTGTGCTGATTTAAATCTAGCGGTTCTTTTGTGTTTGTGTCGCAAGTTCAGTGACGCAGGTAGTGACGATTCTCTCCGGCCAATCCGTGATCAGCAGAGTTTACACGTCACGTTTTGGTAACGTACGGTTCACTTGGAACCCCAACCGAGGTGGTACTAAAAAGTACCAGGTACTGTACCCAGTGGAAAACCCCCCAAAAGTGAACCGTACCGAGCCGTACCGTACCATGCAGTGGAAAAGCGCCATTAGTACCGGCCTAAAGTCCCTAGTTAAATTCCTGGGGAAAGTTCCTGCGGTGGAAACGGGGCTATAGTGTTTGTTTGTGCAACTGGCACCAGGTCAATTTCTGTTATTCAAAAGCATTTCACAACACCATTATATGTAGCTCAAAATTTGACAAAACCATTTGAATTTGAATTGTGTAAACTTTAATTATTGACAAGTGTCATTTAACAAAACTGAATGCTATGTGGCATTTAACAAATTTCTGAATTAGATTTTTTATAAACTTGAATATTTAGCAGTTGAAATTTTAAAACAATAATTTTTTTATGGCAGTTTTATAGGTTTTCAAACAACTGATTTTTTTTGTTCTGAATTCTTAGACTGCAAATATCCCGTTTAAAAAAAAACAGCCTCAAGTTCTCAAGATGAAGAAGAAATTCAGAACATCAAATTCAATATTCAAAGCGCAGAAATTCAGATTGTAGAGAAGAAATTATTAATGTCTTAATATATTGGAAACCTATGTAAATTGCATTATTTAGGCTAATTTTAGGGGTGATTTTTGACTGCTTAAAGGTAATTTCTGCTGCTTCCACTAGAGGGACGGTTGGGAAAGTTCTTGCTGATGGTGGTTAGTGTCAGATGAATGCAGGCTTTGGCACACAATGGATTTGCATGAGAATGGAGCTCCATTAACAGAGGTGTTTTCCATTTCATTCGCTCTGAGCCCTGCTGAGCTGATTCAACGCAAAAATGTCCCTCTTCCATTTCCTCCTCTTCCTCGTCCTCATTCCCTCTGTCCCTCTGTCCTCTGAAGAGTCAGTGATGGACAACAGCAGCGACCGGCAGAACGGTTCCACCTTTCTGTACTGGCAGCAACCCAGCAACCTTCTGAAGGAGCGGCTGCAGCTGAAGAACCCATCAGCCACCGTCTACTGCGTGGCCAAACTCAAGGTATCTATCTATCTGAACACCTATCATCTATCTATCTATCTATCTATCTATCTATCTGAGTGTTTAACTATATCATTCATATTTTTATTCATTTATCCATCCATCCATTTATATCCATTCATCCATCCGCATCCATATATATCCATTCATCCATCAGACTGTTTATCTATCCGTCCGCCCATCAGACTGTTTATCTATCCGTCCGCCCATCAGACTGTTTATCTATCCGTCCGCCCATCAGACTGTTTATCTATCCGTCCGCCCAGCTGACTGTTTATCTATCCGTCCGCCCAGCCGACTGTTTATCTATCCATCCGCCCAGCCGACTGCTTATCTATACGTCTGTGATCTAAACTGTGATAATGTGAGAAATGTTGAAGGTGTCTGAATAAATTTTGGTTTGACTGTATCTGTCTACACATGTAACTGACTGGTCCTCCTCTCCAGGATTATAAACTGGCCTTCGGGAATCATAAAGGACTGGCGAGTCAGCGCTGGCACGGCGGTGTCGGGACCATCGAACACAGCCCAGGGGACGAGGTTTGGGGCGTTGTGTGGAGGATGAACATGTCGGACCTCGAGTCCCTCGACAGGTGGATGCTTTCAGACCCCAAACACACACATACAGTACACTAAAAAATGCTGGGTTGTTTCAACCCAACTTTGGGTCAAATATGGACTAACCCAACTTTTGGGTTAAAAATGTATCACCGGCAGGCCCAATGGCACTCTTTTATTTTGTTGTCTTTGTTCTCCATCACATATTTTAGTCATTCAAGCTTAAAACCTCAGAATTCATCCTGTGAAAACCATTTTTAAGTCGGAAATTGCATTACCGTCGAAATGGTACTTTAAAATCTTTTAGTGGTCTCTTCCCCTTAGTGGAGGGAGGCAAGTGTCATATTACAAAAAGTATTACGGTCTTTTAGAATCACAGTTGTTTATAAACTTGATAAAATACATATTGTCGGAAAGGTCTGAGTCTCAAGATTTTTGATAGAAGTAACAATGACCGAGAAATTTAGACATTTGTGGCAGAAAAATGCATCAAAAAAAATTCAATGAAGTTTTGATGGCACTTGTGATATAACGCTCTAAATAAAATCTCACAGGAACCTCAAATTGTTTTTTTTTTATATCAACTTCAAATTTGGAACATAACTTTAGACAAAAGGCTTTAATTTTATAGCAATTTTGGATTCAAAAATATTTTATTTTATATAACCAATTTTTTTTAGTATAGTGCATTTTCTTTACAGTAAATTTAAACTTCTATAACTTTTTGATACTTTAATATTTTAAAATGATTCCACTTTTGCAGTAATCTAAAAAAGAGTCCAACCTTAGGTCTGTATTCCAAAGCGTTCATGAATTATGACAATTTAAGTTTGGATAGTGCACGTTCACGTATGTTCAAAAATGAGGGGTGACACACTTAAGGGGTTAGTGTAAAGATTTAACCCAACAGCTGGGTTAGTCCATATTTGACCTAAAGTTGGGTTGAAACAACCCAGCATTTTTTAGTCAGAGATCTTCATGTAGAAACGCAGCACTAGTAAGTGACTAATGGAGCTCCTCACAAGCGCTGGATGTCCCTCTGCAGGCAGGAGAACGTGAAAATGGGCACCTACAGCCCAGTGGAGGTGAACGTCGCCACCAGCAGACAGGACCTCAGCTGTCGCACGTATATCATGAACAGCTGCGTTTATGCACCACCTTCACCGCAGTATCTACAGGTACGGTCTCCTGCGCGCTTTAACAAGTCACAGAAATACGGCTTTTATCAGGACTAAAGCTTCATTTAGAACTGTGGTTCACAACACTTTGCAACTCAAGTTTATTTGTATAGCGCTCTTCACGATGCAAATCGTTGCAAAGCAGCTTCACAGAAACTTTAAGTTTTTACATTGTTTAGTAGTAGCTTATCAGTGTTGATATCCATATGGCAGAACTGTACAGTAAGAATCATGCAGTTAGTTAATGACGTGTACTTCCTAGATACCTCGGGATGCCAAGCAAAAAATGATGTGTTCAACACAAGCAAAAGACTGTTAATGTGCATTTGATCAGATATGACTGAAGACCAAGGTTATTAGACACTTTATGTGAATGCTTGGCCAAAGAGATGTGTCTTTAATCTAGATTTAAACAGAGAGAGTGTGTCTGAACCCCGAACGTTATCAGGAAGGCTATTCCAGAGTTTGGGAGCCAAATGTGAAAAAGCTCTACCTCCTTTAGAGGACTTTGCTATCCTAGGTACTACCAAAAGTCCAGAGTTTTGCGACCTTAGGGAGCGTGATGGATTGTAGCGTGGTAGAAGACTAGTTAGGTACGCAGGAGCTAACCCATTAAAGGCCTTGTTTATTGAAAATGCAGGAAAACTTTCAAAAGGGAATCAAGATGGCTTAAAATGACTCAAAGCCCGAGACACTGCACAATTTTAGCAATCCTATAAGATCATTGCATGTCACACTGTGACACATGGATCTAATAAACGTGGCTACGACATGCGTGTAGATTGTACGACGATGACACCTATTGAATCGTACGCTACGATGCACGTTACTATAGAAGAATAAAACGTCATCAGCATGCGCTAGTGGTAAACAATAAGAGCATGATAAATCACACTTTAGCAGTTGTAGTTTTCATTTGTGCTGAATAAAAGGGGAAGCGGCGAAAGAGGAAGGCATGAGAGCTCGAGGTAAGCAGTTTTATGTTTTAGCGTCGTGTTTTTATTGGTTGGTCAGCAAACGTGGATCGTAGCAGCAAACACACCGTGCGATGATCATGCTGTATTTCTGACACAGTCAGAAAATGATCGTAGGCTATCTTTTGGTCGCAAGACTGTGACAACGGCCGTCTCTGACCCTCTCTCACTGTACGATATACGAGCACAGATTAGGAGCCACGATCACAGAAATCACCACGAGTGTTTTACGATGCCAATCTTTAGTCTGGGACAGCCGAAAATCACGCAGTGTGTTTCAGGCTTAAAAATGAAGATGCATCTTATTTTAATTCAACCCCTTAACAAGAAGAACCAGGATTTTCACAGTCTAGGATAAATAAGGAAGTGTCATTTTAAAAGTGTGATATCTAGACCTGGAAAAACCTTGGACATTTATGCATTATGCATTATAAAAATATATGATTCTAGTCATTTTTAAAAATATTTTGTATGTAAAAAATTTAAAGAATAATTTAAATAAAATATTTTAGAGCTGGGCATAGCTGGAATAATATTTTTTTTACTCAATTGGAAATCAATAGAAACATAATTCTGTGCGTGTTTTTATGCATTTTATAAATATACATTATTCTAGTTATTTTTTTGAAGACTTTTACAGTTTCTAGCAAATGAAATATTTTAGAGCTTGGCATAACCAGAATAATATTTTTTACTCACAATTTCTAGCAAATAATATATTATAGAGCTTAGCATAACTATAGAGCATAACGTTATTCTAGTAATGCCAAGCTCTAAAATAATTTGTCTGGAAATTGTGAGACAAAAAGAACACATAGCAGTTTCATAAGATGCCACATGATAGGTTTGTATGAGGAACAGACTGAAAATGAAATGGTGGGTTATTAACTGATTCGGTCGAATCGCTGATTCAGAAAGTTGAACTCGGCTCACTTCGACTTGTGAATGAATCATTCTGACTGATTTTGTGAACTGGATCCACTGATTCAGTGAAAGATCCATCACGATTACTGTATGAACATTTCTGAATTAAGAGGAGAATGACCCCGAGCCTCTATTGTGTGTCAAATCACAGCAACAACAACAGAAACGCATGCTTCTCTAAACGGCGTAATCTGATATCATTCTTCAAAACAGAATGCGTTTGTTATTTGTGCTGCTGGTGAAAGGACAATGTTGTGGTGTTTTTTCTGGCGTTTGCTCCGGTCAGCTTTGTACGAGACAATAGTGCACCGCTAGCAACTGAGTCAGTGCTACAACAGAAACACATCAAACCGAAGCATCCGGAACATGCAACACAAGAGGCTCTGCCACAAGATAACTTCTCCATATTTATCCATTTAAATTGGACATGTCACTTTTAGGAAAGCAGCACATGTGCTTGAATTTATGAATAGATCTCTATACTGTCCTAAACATTTACATGCAAACATATTGTTCTCGTCACATGCACATTAAACAATTTGTACTGTATAATATGTCAAATTTAGTTTGTGACACCATGTAATGATGAAAAATGATTACAGGGTTTCTGCAAATGTATGACTTTAAGACCTGTTTGACCAGTTAAAGAACATTTCAGAAATAAAGGGATCACGCTGTCAATACTGTTATGATTTCTCGGGAAAACAAGTTTTCATTCCGCATTGACAGATATTTGTTTATATCTTCATTTTGCATTTCAAGTAAACGTATCTTGATTTAAGGATGTTTAAATATCTGTACTGACAAACCAAACACAAGTACTGAGGAAGAACAGCACTTCTGTGCATTGTGATCAGAAGATACAGTAAAAGTTATTTGACATTTTGTGTAATGCATGCAACATTTAATGCCGCGACTTTATGAATTTCAGATTTTCTGCTCTGATTTAAGACCTTACTTTGTGGAAGGCTGAATTAAGACTCCAGAAACTCTAGATTAAAAAGCGTGAAGTTGAAAGAAGTGGTGTCAGGACCTAAGATATGCTTAATACATTCATTTACATTTTAACCTAAAATCTACATTAATTTACATTACGTTTACGCACTTTCAGAAGACAAATAAAAGCAGGTTTTTAACCAAAAAACCTAAAACTGCAATAGAAAAAGTCTGATACTCTGTTCACTTTACATAATAAATCTTCCTCATGTAAACTACACTTTATGACGACACTCAAAAGTCTAGACTAGATTCCTGCAGAGGGTGTGTTCTCTGACAGAAATATCTTCAAGATGCCAGCAGAAATGAAGTAGCTTCTGTGTCTCAGGTTATTGTGATGGGCGCGGAGCAGAACGGGCTTCCGGAGGACTATCAGGACAAACTCAGGTCTATCCAAACCAACAAATACGAGGGACCTCTGCCTGTGATGAAAGAACTGGAGAAAGCTTTGAAAAAATCCAAAAGGAAGGACAGAAGAGATTCAGTCTGATGATTAGCGTCGGATTCGCCCTCATAAATGATGTCTGTGTGCACACTTATCTGTAGTCTACTACACAATGCTATTAGACGGGTTAGTTCTGTTGTTTAGACAGAGGAGGGGAAGAATGTGCAGCATTTGTAACGTATGGTAGCAAAACAATTGCATAAAGTATTTTTGCTGGCATTCATGGTGTTGTGTTTTGCTTGTGTTATTTTCACGTCTGTTTGTCGGAAAAACAACCTTTTTGGAACCTTCATTTTTAAGAGGTAATGCCAAAATGTAATCAAATAAAATTAGAGCGGATTCATCCATCGTGTTTTATAGATAGGACTAGGATTTGAACAATATTTCTATTCTCTTTTGATTTTAATGGAAGTTAACCGTTATGGTATGTCCCATTCAACTCGTAATAAAAATCGTAATTTCCAACTTCCTGCTGGGAAAAGTGCAATGGAAAACCAGTTTTCCAACTTTGAAAATGCACAGTTCTACAATTGTCAGACACGGTTGGTATCAAGTGAAGGTTCGCCCAAAAATGAAACTGAAAGATTTAATGGTAGCCATTGACTTCCATAATATTTTTTCCGTACTATGGAAGACAATGGCTACCGTCGATTGTTTGGTTACCAACATTCTTCAAAATATCTTCTTCTGTGTTTAACAGAAGAAAGAAACTCAGAGGTTTGGAACGACTTGAGGGTGAGTTACTGATGAATGCATTTTCATTTTTGGGTAAACTATCCAGTTAATGTTGCCGTCAGGCTGCTAAAATGGTTGCAATCCTATATTTTAACACAAGTAAAATATTTTTGAAGATGGTTATCATCAGGCAAGTTCTCATACTTCATAAACCAAGGGTGTCGAGTTTAGTAGAGATGCTATGACATGTCCCTGCCAATGTCCGGCAACTGCTAAATTGTCCCTAGCGATAATTTTGATTAAACAATTAAATGTCTGTTCTATGCTGTTATGCCCCACCATTGCCAAAATCAAACCTACACCCTTGGCATAAACAAATGCTATCCAGGAACCAAATTTAGGTTATAAAAACATGGGAATATTTTGATATGTTTCTAAAATGTTGAAATGTGCAGTTTTCTTGCCGAGGTTGTAACGTTTTTCAAAGGTTCCAAACATGTTCCTTATAAAATTCTACTATCTTTATCACCCAAAACAGAACATTATTTGAATGTTTTTTTAATATTCTAAAACCGCTAAAATGTCCAGTTTTCTTGTTGTGATTAGAACATTATTTAAAGGTTACAAAAAACGTTTCTTACAACATTCTACTAACTTTATTATCACCCAAAATATACCATTATTTAAATGGTTATTTTTTATATTCTAAGAACGTTAAAATATCTATTTTTTGTTGTTGTTGAGATTAGAATGTTATTTAAAGGTTTACAAAATTTTACATATTTTTGGGGGAAAGTTCATCAAGTACAATTAGCATCATAAGGACATTTTGAGAGTCTTTAGAATCTCTTAAAGAACGTTCAAGAACAAGGACGTTCCAAAGGTTCCAAACATGTTCCTTATAAAATTCTACTATCTTTATCACCCAAAACAGAACATTATTTGAATGTTTTTTTAATATTCTAAAACCGCTAAAATGTCCAGTTTTCTTGTTGTGATTAGAACATTTAAAGGTTACAAAAACGTTTCTTACAACATTCTACTAACTTTATTATCACCCAAAATATACCATTATTTAAATGGTTATTTTTTATATTCTAAGAACGTTAAAATATCTATTTTTTGTTGTTGTTGAGATTAGAATGTTATTTAAAGGTTTACGAAATTTTACATATTTTTTGGGGAAAGTTCATCAAGTACAATTAGCATCATAAGGACATTTTGAGAGTCTTTAGAATCTCTTAAAGAACGTTCAAGAACAAGGACGTTTCGAGAATGTTAACCTCAGAACGTTTTCTTTCAATGTTTTAAAAACATTCATCATTAAGTACAAATAACATCATGAAGACGTTCAAGGAATGTTGTTTTAAGAATGTTTTCTCAGTGTTATGACAAACTATTAATAAAGTTATAAAAGCATTATATAAACATTACTTCATAATGTTTTATCTTAACACTTAACACCGACTTAAAAGTTGTGAGACGTTCCCTTGAAAGGTTTTGAATTGTTTTAAAAGAACATTAGGATAACGTTCTGTTTTGCTGAGAAAAAAAACAATACAAACCATCAAAGAAATTGTAATTTTTTCCACTACAAATACAAACATTACAAACCATCAACTTTTAACCATTAAAAAATTGTTTTCGGTAGAGCATTTAGGATTTAGTGGTGTTAACAAGCCACCAATAGAAGGCGTCCAATTACGTTACACTTGCCATTAAAACCAATACAAGTCCCATTATAACCAGTAAAAGCATTACAAATTCTGTAATGGTTTCTATTGTTTTTTTTCAGCAGGGTTGGACGTTAAATATGATGTCTTATTGGAAACTAGTTACAGTGGTACATTTTTGTAAGGGTATAAACACCACATTTAGTAAAGTTTAGTAAAAATGTAACCAGGTTTGCCTTTAATTCCCAAGCAGCTCATAAAATACATAACCAGCATTAAGTCTCATGACTGACTGAAGGCTAGCTTAACCGTTTTATCGTTTTATTTCTCTGACCTCGCCACACAACTCCTATTCAAACAACCTTCCCTAGTGAAAAATAAATACACTTAAATGTAGTACACAAAAGTATACGACAAATACATTTTCGTATTTATGTATTTAAAGCTGCAGTCCGTAACTTTTAGCACTCTAGCGGTTAATAAACAGTTATAGGTATACTTAAAGTCTGCTAAATTGGAACAACTAATTTTGTACTTAATGCACTTTAATTGTGAGGAAGTAGTGCTGAAGTCCAATTAAAGACATACTTAGTATATTTAATTGTGCTAAAGTGGAACTATTGCAAGTATAGGCTAGGCTACTTAAGGTAGGCTACACCTATATTTAGCATGATATACTTCAAAGATTACATGGTCCTCATCAAAAGTGACATTAAAACACATTTTAGTTTTATTAATAATAAATGGGCATTGTGCACAAATGTAATACTCCAAATAAAGTTTCATTAAAAATGTTATACCAGTAAGTATCGAGTTATCTTTCAGTAAATATGTTAATAGATTTGAACTATACTTGGTATGAAATAAATGTATTACTTTTTTTACACGGCACAAACAGGGTTTTTCACAAATCCGGGTCAAATTTAATCTTTTAGTTTCACTTCCTAGTTAACATGGAAGGTGCGGAAACCAAGTAAACAACACTCAGTAGTCCGTTTAAGCTTCGCAGAGTCAGACTCTTTCGTTTTCTTTAGCACGAGGAAGTTGAGATGGCTCCGCTTTCTTAAATATATCGGGCTGGTGGTCTAGCAGGTAAAATGGGCTCTTACAGGAGTGAGGGGTCTCACCTGAAGCTGCTGACGTCACACCGCGAGCTGCTGGTGGAGCAGGTGAAGAACACGCAGTGCATGCTGGACAATCTCCAGACGAACGGCTTCATCTGCACTGAAGACATCGAGATCATACAGCGCAGCAGCACCAAGACTGACCAGGTACAACACTAACTCCAAAAACATACCTACACTCTTAAAAAATAAGCTTCACAGCGATGCCATAGAAGAACCATTCAGTCAAAGAACATCTCTTTCTTAGCTTCTTATAATCTGAAGAACCTTCTTTCGCCACAAAGAAGCTTTTGTGAAACAGAAAGGTTCTTCAGATGTTAAAGGGATAGTTCACCCAAAAATGAAAATGTGATGTTTATCTGCTTACCCCCGGGGCATCCAAGATGTAGGTGACTTTGTTTCTTCAGTAGAACACATTTGATGATTTTTAACTTTAACCGTTGCAGTCTATGAGTCGTATAATGCATGAACATTCAATTCACAGGCAACAGCTCTGGTGGACATTCCTGCAGTCAGCATGCCAATTGCACGCTCCCTCAAAACTTGCGACATCTGTGGCATTGTGCTGTGTGATAAAACTGCACATTTCAGAGTGGCCTTTTATTGTGGCCAGCCTAAGGCACACCTGTGCAATAATCATGCTGTCTAATCAGCATCTTGATATGCCACACCTGTGAGGTGGATGGATTATCTCGGCAAAGGAGAAGTGCTCACTAACACAGATTTAGACAGATTTGTGAACAATATTTGAGAGGAATAGGCCTTTTGTGTACATAGAAAAAGTCTTAGATCTTTGAGTTCAGCTCATGAAAAATGGGGGCAAAAACAAAAGTGTTGCGTTTATAATTTTGTTCAGTGTAAGAATATAAGTAGCCTTCCACTATTACTGATATGAAGTATTATCACTGCACCATGCTACTTCAGTAACTTCATATTTGTTATGCAAACTTACAGTATATACCTGTATAAGCTAACTTCAAAGTATACGGTATGTATGAATTTCTAACATACATGATAAAATTATTTAAACAGGGTTTCTGCGAGCCTTAAAAGGTCTTAATTTGCCCTTTCACAAATAAAGGCCATAGAAAGATCCTAATTCAGAACTGAAAGTCTTAAATTCATAGTCATGGCATTGAATGTTGCATGCACTGCTAAAAATGAATATCTTCCACTGTATTTCTATCTTGTTTTCCAGTACAAATATCTAAACACCCTTAAATCAAGATACATTTGCTTTTGTTTTCAGAGAAACTGAACAAAATGAGTTTATGCTTAACAAGAACAAATATATGCCAATGAGGTCAGAAAATATTGTTTTCCAATTGAATTAAGATTAAGAGGTCATTGGCAGATATTTGTTGGTTTTTTATGCGTTTTCTCAAGTAAATGTATCTTGGTTAAAAATATTTGGATATTTACACTGGAATACAGAACAAAAATACTGAAGAACATCTTTTTTTTTTTGCAGTGTGATCAGAAGCTACAGTAAAAGTTATTTCCATATTCTAGGGGCATTTTTTTTTTTTGTAAAATGAATTAAAAAGTAATGGAGATTTTTTGGAAGTTGTATTTTCAATCTTTTAAGTGCCGCTAAAATAACTTTTTGTGTGTGTCTTTACTTGGTTTTAAAATGTCTTAAATTTACCTTCATAAAACGTGCGGACTAGGGCTACCAAAATGGCTGAAAAAATGAAATTCGAATTTTGTACTTAAATATTATAAAAATTCGAAATCTGTTCAAATT